CTTGACATATATAAGCAACAAATATTAATTCACTGGCGATGTAGTTTAACTATATATACTAGAAGCTATTATATTGTAACAAGTACAGTACCTTCACCTCTTGGGGTTTTAGTAGTTTTGCTATACTTTCTCCCATAGTTTGTAGTTTTCCCATCCCCTTTCTTATTTGTAGTTTGGGGAAAAATAAAAATGTTTATAAAAAAAAGAAAAGAAATAGTCTCCTGGCACCTGCACTTGAGACATGCCTTGGTTAGGCCCAGCCAGAAAGCATGAGAGGTGTAGTTCCTGTGGTCCCTGACATTCCTGGTAGGAATGCTGCCCGGAATGGCATATTTCATGATTCCTGGCAGCTCTAAATGTTGTATGGCAGCTCCTGGCAATTAATAAGATTCTTTCACTGACTGAAAGGCCTCCCACTACCATGTAAGGCAAAGGATGAGGGTATGCACACAAACACACATGAAGCTGCCTTATACTGAATCAGACCCTTGGTCCATCAAAGTCTACTGAGATTGGCATTGCCTCTCCAGAGTCTCAGGCAAAGGTCTAACTACTGCCTTGTCCTTTTAACTGGAGATTCCAGGGATTGAACCTGGGAACTTCTGCATGCCAAGGAGGGGCTCTGCCACTGAGCCACGGCCCCTCCCCAAGGTAGAAGACATTTCTATTCTCTGAGGCTTATGCTTAATTTGTGCTTAGATCTTTGTTCAAGCCAGAGACCAAGCTGGAACTTTAGCAAGGCATCTGGCTATCTTTCACATTTCAAACAGGTCAGTAGTATAGATCACAGTGTTTCTCTAGGTGCAAGGCCTCTTGCTCATGGAACTCAACTTTCTTTGCTCCCTACTTCCACAGCAGTCTGAAATGCCTCCTGAAATTCTGTTCCTGTAGGTTTCCTCCCAGGCACAAGACTGGGAAGTTAATATTTCATACTGCTGAAGGAATAAGTTATGCTCTGTGTGGAAGATCTTGAACACCCAGAAATACTATGCTGGATTCAACTCTACATCTTCTGGTCAGCCATACTGAGGCACAGGAGCTGCCTTACAGCTTCTTGATAGGTACAGGGTGAAAATAGAAACTAGAGGCAAGAAAGACAGGAGTTGGGAAGAGAAGGGAGCAAGCAGCAGCCTTGTAGATGTGAGGGCTGAAGATTCAGCTTGCAGGCATTGTGAAATGAGCTGGCGTTGGGTGAACTGAGCAGTGAATTGCCTGGGGCAAAGAAGAGAGGAACAGGGAGGCTCTGAGGGGTGGTTTATTTTTAAGCTTTAGCAAAGAAACAAGAATTGTAGTAGCAATGGCAGCTAAGAAGGGTATTTGGGAGTGATGGATGCAAGATTATTAAAGTGTCGTGTCTTGTATGTGATGATTTTATTAATATGTTGGTCTGCTGCTTTTAACCCATCCTTGTTATATCAGGATAGCTGAATTCTTACACCTGACTGGCAATGTAGAAATCCTAGAGCGAAAATGTATGTTTCTGCCTTTCTCCCTCGCTCCTGAAATGTTCAGTCAGTTGACACAGGATTTTTCTAGACATACGTCAGTCCCTCTTTGCTCCATGTCATCTTAATTTAAAGACAATCACTGACCCATGACATCTGTAAACTGAGCTTTAACGCAGAGGGGAAATGGGGAATGGCTTGCCTGAGCTGAGGGCTAATCTTGCCTATCCTGGAAAGTCATTTTAATGGCATGCATTGCAACAACTGCTGGCTATGTCAACTTCATCAATAAGATAAGGCATGTGGGTGGCTTCTCTAGATACAACATTTTGCCCGCAGAATGAAGTGCTGAGAGTACAACCGGAACACCCTGCCTTATTAGGTATGTTTCTGTATTTTTCTAGAAATCAACAGAAGGTAGGCAAGCCAAATCCATTTATGGATTTGACCTACAAAGTATATCAGGATCAGACTTATTGCCATCAGAAAAACATTACCAATAGAAAGTTGATTCTATTTAATAAGGTAAAAGTCCATGGTGGGGTGAATTTAACAGTTGTCCAGATGTGGTACATATATAGTCCGGAGATACGTTTCGTATGCCACATGGCATTTAATCAGGAGATGAACCATAACACGGATTTCATTTAAAGATTAACCTCTGCTGGCAAAAAATGAGATGGAAATTGTTCAGCCTTTGCATCAAAAGTAGATTGGTATTTAAAAAACACAAAACAGATTTATGTCATGATCCTGTTAATGCAACTGGATATGAAACAGCTGCTCCAAAGGGATAATGGAAAGAGTTTGGCTTATCGGTGGTTGAGTTCTGCCCCACAGTATGGGGAATCTAGGTTTTGTTCCTTGCTTCCATGCACTTATGCAGTGCTGCTATTTGAATATGAGAGTCAAAATTATTTAGTGCCAGTGAACATGGATGTAATAAACCTTTTTTGAGACTTTTTGCACATGTGTCTACCTTAACATGGCCATGTTGGATCAGGCCAATGGCCCATCCAGTCCATCACTCAGTGGCCAAAAACCAGGTGCCATGAGGAGGTCCACCAACCCTCCCACTGTTGCCTCACAAGCACCAGGTATACAGAGCATCACTGCCCCAGACAGAATGTTCTATCTATCGGTAAAAGTAAAGGTTCCCTTGCTCGAAAACCAGTCGAGACCGACTCTAGGGTTGCGGTGTTCATCTCCGTTTCAAAGCCGAAGAGCCAGCGCTGTCCGAAGCATTTCCGTGGTCATGTGGCCGGCATGACTAAACACCAAGGTGCACGGAACACTATTACCTTCCCACTGAAGTGTTACCTATTTATCTACTTGCAATTTCTTGCTTTCAAACTGCTAGGTTGGCAGGAGCTGGAACTAGAGATGGGAGCTCACTCCGTCATGCGGCACTCTGTCATGCGGTTTCGAACTGCTGAACTACCGACCTTCCACAGCCTGCAGTTCACCGTCTTAACCACTTGAGCCACCACAGCTCCTTGTATTACCCATACTTTATGGCAAATAGCCACTGATGGATCTCTGCTCCATATGTTTATCCAATCCCTTCCAGAAGCTGTCTGGGCTTGTAGCCACCACCACTCCTTGTGGCAGTGAAGTCCATGTGTTAATTACTCTTTGGGTGAAGAAATAGTTTCTTTTATCTGTTCTAAACCTACTGCTCATTAATTTCATTGAGTGCCCACGAGTTCTTGTACTGTGAAAAAGGGAGAAAAGTACTTCCCAAGACAAGATAAACACACCCATGTCTATAGAAACTGTAAACTGTTTGGCAAAAAAATAATATGTAAGTTGGCCCTTGTGTGATATTCTGAGGTAAATTTTGGGGGGATCAGGAGAACTGTGGAACAAAAATTGACTGCACCAGAGAAAGAAATATACCTTTCTTTTTCTTCAGGCCTTGCAAGACGTAACCATGCAGATGTAGGTGCTCAGCCTGTAGCTCCAGGATTGTCATTTGCCTCATGGTCAAGCTGGTACAGATCTCTCCCACTTTACCATCAGTAAACAGTTTGCCACTGCTGCCACTATCACCCTGTCTCGCATAAATAGTGCCATACATATATGCTTAAGATCACAAGGAACTAAGATCACTATAGTAACGAAGATCCTACCATTCTCCTACTGTCTTGGTTCTCAAATGTGAAGACAGCATTTGATTCAACCTCCTTGGGGAGGCTAAGGAGGCAGAAGCAACAACAGAATAAAATTAAAAAGGGGCAAAAAGCCCGGAAGAACTGGAAGAAGAGGAAAATGCTTGTTTAAGCCACAGCAAAGGTGGCAAGACATTATCGCTAGGACTTCTGAATATTAAAGGTGTTACCCGCTTGTTATATCAGGCCACATGTTAAGAGATGTGTGAAAAGCAGGCCTGCATTGATCATGTGTTCCCATTACTGCTTTTCCATTTTATGTTCCTAGTAAATTTTTCAGTGCAATCATAAGCAGAGTTGCTAACCTTCTCAGCCCTGAGTGTCGTACTGTTTAGGGTTACACTGTTGGTTTAAGGGTATCACCAAGTCTCCCATGATGAAATTATTTAGGTCAGTGAGTACTTACAGTTTAATGACTTGTTTTTTTATTTGTCACGTTGTTTTAATCAAAAGCCACCTTGAGCAGGGTTCTGAAGAGGGGACATGGAAATATCCTAAATAAATATACCAGAAAACCTGGAAGCTACTCTGCATGCGTTTTGATTGAGAGTCATTTATATCTAACTTAAAGTTAACAGAATACTGTAGATATGGAGATAATCTCTGATATTTCTGTAAGTGAAAGCCATGACAAGGGAAGTGGTATTAAAGTCTGGCATTGTTTATGCTTAGGGAAGGTTTGCTATTTTTTTCTCCTCTTGTCCTAATGAAGTTTGTTTTCTGAGCCAGTTCTACAGTTAGTCCATGTTGATGGTAGATGTTTGGGGCATCATGAAAGGGCAGCAAATTATCTACGACAGATCCAGTTTGCTACTAGTTGAACTTTACTCAACAGCAAGGATCCTTCCCCTAATGTAAGAGTCTGTTCTTCTGATAATTAGCTTCTTCTGTCAGGGGGATATTCTTTGCATTGGAGGAAAGCACCCCACCACGACCACCATTAGCTGAACAGATCCATGTGATCCAGTCCTCTGTGTGTGGGGGCTTTTAAAACGTTTTTCTGCCTTAGGCCAACAAATTTTGTTTCTAAGTCTCATGAGAAGGACTGTTACTCCATAGCAAAGCTCATGTTTTGCATGCACGCTTTCTGAGGCCCAGGATCTCCATTAAAAGGATCTCAAGCAGTGAGACAAACCTTTCTTTGTCTCAGATCCTAACAAAGTATGATTAGTCAGAATAGACAACATTGAACTAGATGGAGCAGTGGTGTAAGGCAGATCCCTATCTCCGCCCACTGAGATCCAGGTTAAGAAATTATTTCCTTGAATATTAATGTTCATTGTTGTAGATATCATCATCTCCCCATTGGAGAGCTACAATGTTCACCTAACAAACCAGGACACTTTAATAGACACCTGTGGTAACATTCTGTTCTTCTCTTCAGTCCTATTGCTATAGGTATCGATGTGCAGCTCGAAGCCAAAACACTCCTGACAGCTCAGCTTCCAACCTGGGGTTCCGCTGTGCTGCCGACACTCTGCCTGACTATTGAAAGGAATAAAGCTGGCAGCGACAGAGGAATGAAGAATGTCACCAAAGGGTGCGCTGGGGAGAGGATGCAGCTTACATCGTGAACATGCCTTATACTGGAAACTTTTTTTAAAAAGAGAGGACAGTGATTCTGAAAAAAAATCAGCTGCCAACTTTCTTCTGTAACATCTTTCTGAAGAAAATGGGCCGGATTTCTTCTTTGTGCATAAGGAAATCAAACTTTACTACCCTGGATATTTAATTACTTTACACTGAAATCAGTGCACAAACTCAACAAAATGATGACCTTTAAACAAAAAAATAAGGAAGGCGAGAGAGGGGGTCCTACAGAAATCATACAAGTTTGAGGTGATTTTATAGGAGCTATTAGTAAGTAACATCAGAGTATGATTCTTTTTTAATTAAACATGTGGAAAATCATAAGTGACAAAAAAAGAGACAATCATGGTCCTTGCAAAGCAAATGAGCCACATTTAATGGCTCGATTTCTGTGGCCTTAAGTGTAATGAACTCTTTCTGGTCTGGAACCTGCACTTTAAAATATATTTTTTAACTCGGTCTCTGTAAATATCTGTGAATATTTATTTATGTGTTTTGGTTTGGATTTATGTGTGAAGTGTGGTCAAATTGCTTCAGACTTATAGCAACCCTATGAATCAATGCCCTCCAACAAATCCTTAGGTCTTGCAAACTGAGGGCTGTGGCTTCCTTTATAGACTCAATCCATCTCATGTTGGGTGTTCCTCTTTTCTTGCTGCCTTCAGCTTTTCCCAGCATTTATATAAACTGATGTTATGATCTCCTATTCTTGGGGTTTTAGTTATTAGTGGTTTTCTTTCCTTTCTCCCTAATGTAGTTACTCCCTCCTAATTTTTTGTTGTAGTTTGTATTGTATGCAATAAAAAATCCCCCCCGGGGGGCCCCCCCCCCAAAAAAAAGGAATAGAAAATCTTGAATAATTTCAATTTCTTCATTGTCAACCTTGAAGTTGTACAGTTCCCCAGTAGTCATTACATTTTTCTTCTTGATGTTCAGCTGTAATCCTTCTTTGGCACTTCTGCTTTAACCCTCATCAGGAGTCATTTCAAGTCTTCACTATTTTCTGGCAATAATGTGGTATCATCTGCATATCTCAAATTGTTAATGTTCCTTCAACCAGTTTTCTCTCCACCTTCATCTAAATCTAATCCATCTTTCTTTAGGCTACGTTCTGCATATAGATTGCAGAGATGGGTTTGGATAGTGCCTCTTTTTCTGTCAGTATTATAGGTTGTGCAGCTCACCAGAAGCCTTCATCTGAATGAGTTGTAATTTCCTGTGACACTGGAAGGAGCAGGCTGTTTAGCCTGAGGGGATTACATTCCTAGTATATAAAGAAAGAAATGTGAAACTATTTTATTTTCAGACACAGAGTCCTGAGACTAACTATAATATTCACATTAGGAAGATGTGCATGAACAATTTGTGTAATAGTCCCAGAACAAAGTTTGAGTCCAGTGGCACCTTTAAGACCAACAAAGTTTTATTCAAAGTGGAAGCTTCCCTTGTGCAAACCACACTTCTTCAGACAAATGGAATAAGATCTCCTCAAGGGTTACTTACAGGAAAAAAAGAGGGTAGGGGGCAGCCATTAGGAAGGGCCACAAAGAGCCCAGATGCATATGCAGAGCTGAAATTGGATCAGGTGGCCAGTGAGAGCAATGGATAGCAGCAAATTAGCATGTAAATGCAAGAGTTAACAAAAAGATGTAAGATGTGGTCAAACTTCAACCGCTTTTATGAAATGTCATAAAATGTTGACATCTTTGGGTGATGGAAGAATCAAGGAAGGAGAGGCATGCATGGAGCATTTCAGTCTAATACAGGGATAGGCAGGATGGGAAGGGGAAGGAAGCAGTATGTTCACATCATTTTTTTCCTTTTATTTTTGGGATCCTTTGTGGTTTTCTGAGTTGTAATGATCTCTTTACCTTAACTGTTTGACAGAAATCTGACTCAGTGGGTTTTAAACTAACTAGACCCAATCTTTATTTCAATAGCTATATTGCGAGTTCATGGTTCTAAGAAATTATGAATTATTTGTAAATGTAATTTAGGCATAGGAGGCAGGATTATAACAGAACAGATTTCTTTATTTACCTCCTTAGCAATGTTTAAGACTTGTGTTTAACAGTATCTGCCATTCAGATGTTATAGCAACAATGCAGTCTCACAGCTTTCTGCTGACAAAGCCTTTACTTTTTCAGAGAATTAGTGTTACAGAGGGGTTTAAATGCAAGTTAATACAACTCCCTTCAGAGCTTTAAACCCCTTTCAACCCGGATTGACAACTGTTTCAGTCTGGCAAAATATGACAGCTTCAACTTTTCAGGAGCTATTTAAATCAGCCAGAGCCCATCGTCACAGCAGTCCAATCTACTTCCTTCAGAAGATAGACTTACTCTGGAGTAAGATCACTTTCCTGCTGTAAAATTAATCAACTAACTAGTCAGTTGTACTTGTACCAGTCTTCTAGCCCACTGATCCCCTCAGCAATCAGACCCTTTATTTCCAGAACAACTGCTGGATTCTGCAAGTGACTCTCAGTTTCCCTCTGACTAGACATTGCTATGGCTGTGCACATTCAAAACTCAGTGACAGGGAATTCTTACATGGCCCAAATAAGGGCAGCACAACCACCTGTCTGTTATGTGAGTCTACATAAGAAGAGCCCTGATGGATTAGACCACTGGTCCATCTAGTTCAGCATTCTGTTTCACACAGTGGCCAACCAGGTGCCCTAGTCTTTAGCAAACACCATCGGTGCATATTAGGTTTCTCCTTATTCACAAATGTAGTTCTCAGTATTCTACACTTGCTACCAGTCAATGGCTTGGATTCTGTGAATCATTTCTGCTAAAGGAAGAGATTTGCATCAACAGAATGGATTTTCTCGTCCTTTGCCTTCCTACTGCAGTACCCCTTGAAATGCTGTTCCGTGAGGAGAAGGGACTCTTAGGAACAACCCAAGTGAGAAGTTGGAGGCATATAGCAGGAAGGTGGAAGTCACTGAAAAGCAGAATTTTTCTTATTGGAAATCAACTGTCAGTCTTTGAATACTGAGATTCTCCACTGGTCCAGGAGTGGGCCAGTCCTCACACTGGGGATTGGCTCCTCCTCCTGGTGCAGGGCCGGTCTTGATGATTGATCCAGCTGAGGGAGAGGGCTATCCCTCTGGACTGGCCCAGTTTTTCCAATCCTGCTGTGGGAGCAGGACAGGCTTGACGGCACTCTCATGAGCACAGCAACCCAGAGCAGAAGAAGAAGCAGCAGAAGGCACTCGGGCTACGGTCGGCAGCAGAGGATTGTCAGCTAGGTCTATGTCTAGCCCTGGCTGCCATGGGAGTGGGGTGACTCTGGAATGTTAAGTTTCTATTCTGCTGTGTCTTCTGTGTTTCTATTATCTCTGTTTGACCTTCAGTGCCTGGTGTAATGTTTCTCCTGGGAACTGATGCTTGTTATTTCGGTGGGCTTATACCGAACCCCTGATTGGCCCTGGTTTATCAGGGAGCCTCCTTGAATGATGTATAACTGCTTGCTTTGCATGCTCTTATTTAGTTCTAGCACGAAATGGTTAAGATGTCTGCATACTATCAATTGTCTCAATAAACTTTACTTTTTTGAATGAAAGCTGTTGGGAACTGATTGCTGCAGGAGTCTGACAAGGACCTCGCTTACTGAGGCACATCGGCGTTGCCAAAAGAAGCGAGCCTACGGCACCAGAAGCTCCCTGGTTGCCATGACTCACAGCAGGCACCCCACAGGACCCAGAAGCAGAGGAGAAGATGAACTGGTGGTGCTGGGAGAACCCCAGCTGCCACAGCTTGCATAAGACCATGGCAAACTCGGTGGCAGCAGAGGAGCCAGCAATGCTGGGAGAAGCCTGGCAGCCACAGCTTGCCACAGACTCCTGTGGGACTCCCAGAGAGGGGGAGTCCCTGGCCCAACTCGGGAAAGTGGTGGAGTCTGTGAAGATGGCTGGGACAACAGTGAGACCCACTGCATTTCCTGGCCACGAAAATCCTGGCACAAGTGCCTGAAGTACTGGCCGGGAGCACCCCAACAGAACCTCAGTAGGCACCCAAGGGTATTAAGCGGTTGTGGGTGGCTTGGGTTGATAGGAAAATCCCCCCCAGCAGTACTGGAGGATTCAAGGGAAGTGAATTCCACACTATTCCCTTTGCCTCCCTCTCCTTTGGTCATAGTAAGGAGAGGGAACACTGAAAGTGAAACTGTGCTAGGTCTGGGAGGGCAGGAAAGCAAGGCAGCCATTTTGTCTACCCATTCCTCATGAAAGGAACTTTCACCCCAGGTTGACCAGTACTGTAGCATTTCCTGGCCACGAAGATCCTGGCACAAGTGCCTGAAGTACTGGCCGGGAGCACCCCAACAGAACCTCAGTAGGCACCCAAGGGTATTAAGCGGTTGTGGGTGGCTTGGGTTGATAGGAAAATCCCCCCCAGCAGTACTGGAGGATTCAAGGGAAGTGAATTCCACACTATTCCCTTTGCCTCCCTCTCCTTTGGTCATAGTAAGGAGAGGGAACACTGAAAGTGAAACTGTGCTAGGTCTGGAAGGGCAGGAAAGCAAGGCAGCCATTTTGTCTACCCATTCCTCATGAAAGGAACTTTCACCCCAGGTTGACCAGTACTGTAGAATGGCTGATCAGACTGGATTATTTACCTCTCACATGGAAGGGAGTCCATTCAGTGAATCTGAGTTACCCAGATGTTCTGTATCCCTGTCTTCCCAAGAGTCCCTGGAGTTACAGCAGTGGCTGCACCACAAGTGGGCATACCACTTCCGGCAGCCTTTTATAGCAGAGTGAAAGCAGAACGGGAACATCCTGCAAAGCCTAAGGCTAATCATGATTTTTTTTTCAAAATTCTACTCTATGGTTCCAGAAGCCATGAAAGAAATCACACTACTGGTAATGGATGATCCAGACACTAGCCTGACCTCAAATTCAGTGCTTCTAATGGAGGCTGATGGCCTACCCAGGGACCACTGCGATAGGCATAAGAACAAACCCTTTGAGGCTTCTTCCTGTTCCCTGCGGGCATCTACAGCTGCTTCTCTTTTTTAACGGGCAGCCTATGTTTGGGCTTCCAACCTGGCTTCTGCAGAGAGTACCATTTCAAAGGAAGTCAAGGATGAGCTAAAAAAGATTGCCCTGGCAACGGCATTTGCAGCTGACGCTACCCTAGATGCCTTTCAGCAATCAGCCAGAGCCATGGCATGCAATGTAGTGGCCAGAAGGAACATCTGGCTTAGGAACTGGGATGTAGACTCTTCTGCCCAAACCAAGGTGGTGGCAGTTCCATTCTGAGGTGCTAATTTATTTGGAGATGACTTAGACAAATACCTGATAGAGAACAAAGACAAAAAGAAAGTCCTACCTTCTAAGAAAAAAGAGTTCGAACCTAGAAGGAAGTTTCAGTCCTTTCAGGACTTCAAGAAAATGTCAAGACCATCCTTTTCCAGAACATACAAAGGGAAGTGGCAACACAGAGCTTGAGACAACAAGCCATGCTTTCCCAATAAAAATGCCTAGGGAAAAACTCCAAGAAAGGAACCATCACATGACTATGCCACGGGGAAGGAACCTTGGAGGATAGGAGGCTGTCTACAAA